TTGATCTGGTCACTTTGATACTCAAGATGCTAGGAGGATCTCTACTTAAACAATCTCCCCCAGAGAGGACAGATAAAAGGCTCACACTCTCTTAGTATGCATGTGCGCCAGCACACACATAAATGTAAATACCAAAACAATCTTGCATTCTTCTGAGGGTTCTCTCTGTTCAGAGTGCTTAGCAGAGAACAATATGCTCTCTCTCTCTCTCTCTCTCTTCTCTCTCTCTCTCTCTCTCTCTCTCTCTCTCTCTCTCTCCCTCTCCCTCTCCCTCTCCCTCCCTCTCCTCTCCCTCTCTCCCTCCTCCCTCCCTCCTCTCTCTCTTCTCTCTCTCTTCTCTCTCTCTCTCTCTCTCTCTCTCTCTCTCTCTCTCTCTCTCTCTCTCTCTCTCTCTCTCTCTCTCTCTCTCTCTCTCCCTCTCCCTTTCTCTGTCTCTCTCCCTGAGGTCATGGAGTTCACAAGATTACCATGACAACAAGCATCCCTGACTACTCATCAGAAAGGTGAGAGTTGATTGAAAGAGACCATCATTTTCCTGGGAGGTTCAGTATTTACTCTCAGACACTCACCCTGTACCAGTGTTAAACTCTGGACAACGTAGCTTCTAGTGAGGGGGAAAAAGAATCAGCATTTTGTTCTTTATTGGGTACTCTGTGGGGGAGGATTGCAAATTACTCTCGGGGAGAGACATTTTATTTCTGGTGCACGGGGTAGGGGGTGGCGAGTATGCATTTCTGATCACTGTGGATGGTTTTATAAAGGAGAGAAAAAGAAGTTATTAGGTTGACTGTAGATCCTGCTGCTCCTCCAAGCTGGAGTGTTCTCCTGTCCACTGATAATAATCTTTCCATTCCTTCAAGGCCTAGCTCAAGCCTTGTCACTTCTGAGAAGCCTGATTGCCCACTGATTTCTCTCTTTTTTGACATTTTACAGAATTTCCATATTGTATCATGCAGTGTTGCTCTTTCTCATATGGGCTCAAAGGCTGCTTGGTGGAAGTTACAGAGGTGACTACTTTGGTTCACTGTTAGGAAGAGCCTTCAAATAATTGGAGCTGCCCAACAATGGAATAGACTAACTCAGGAAGTAGTGGGTTCACTATTACTGAAAGTCTTCCAGAAGGCAGAATAGGTAGGTCCTTATCAAACTCAGATTCTGAATTGTCTTGAGTTACTTTCTAATTGCTTAGAATTTCTCCAATTATAAGCTTCTTGGGAACAGAAAGTGTATCTTATATTTCTGTTGTATTCCTCATTATAACTAATCTAACATGCACTAGTGAGGTTGACTTTAAACAGAGGTGCAATGTGCTGTTAAGACTGCTGGAGGTGTGGGTTCTAGTTTTGGCTCTCCTACCAATTCTGTGATCCTGGACAAGCCATTTTATGCCTGTAGGTCTCCCTGATCTCTAAGGTTCCTTCTTGCCCAAGATTCTTGTTATATGTTCTAATATTCCAATTCTGGCATTTTATTCTATTCCAAATCTTCTGATCTAAGATTCTGGGCATTTAAAAACATTTGGTGAATTGAACCTAAGCCAAAAGGTAATATTACACAGCCACTGGGTCACTAGACCTTAACTAATTTAGGGTCAAAGTAGGGTGAGAAGATTAGATAGTGACCAATCTGGACCATAAAGAAAGTGTGCCTCAGATCTTTTTTGAAGAAAATTCCTTCTTAGGTCTATCATCTGAAGAAGTAAGCCTACAACATATTCTTATCACCTTGGCCCATCCATTTGGCAATGTATAACACAGACAATGAGGACTTACCATATTTTAACCTTAGGGAATGCAGAAGACATTATGGATTATGGAACCCCTATCTTAACCAATCAAACTTGGACTAATGTCCTTAACAGAGTTCAACTTTTAGCAAATCTATTTGTTAGATGCATTGTGGTAGTTAAATTATGAAAAATAATTATCAATTAACTGTAGTTACAGACCGTGCCATTTTGCAAACCCTCAGTAAGAAATAAGATTTAATAAGGATAAGAAGTGGAAGATGTGTATAATTCACACCTACTTTGGAAATTCAAACAAATTTTCATCTGATTGTGACATTCAATTTCTCTGACAGTAATCATTATAACCAGAGAGAACAGATTTAAACAACCAGATGTTTAGTTGACAAGAGAATTATTAACCAAACTGGTGAATTTGCTAATAGTTTTTCCCTGGATGCTAACATTAGCCAAAGTTGGTTTTTATCTATCATAAAAAGGAAACCAAAATGTACTCCTATGCCTCTTTAAGTCTATAAACACACTAGCTCATGGACAGACAGACAGATAGACAGAAAGACAGTGTCTACTTCAAAGAAACACTAACCAGTTAAATGGAAAATTTTCCACCCTAGGTAGAGAAGAGGCCAGTAACAGAAAAACAATCTACTGATAACCTTTTTTTAAAAGATTCAGTAAAGCTTTCAGCTGAACCAAATTTAGGTATTATTAGCTCCATTTTATGGATGTGGAGATAGGTTAATATAAATTAAGTCTCTTGTCCAACGTCACCTATCTAGTAAGTATCATTCCTGATCAGGAAGAAGTTTTGATTTTGAATGCTTTTTTTTTTTAATTTTGGTGAGACAATTGGGGTTAAGTGACTTGCCTAGGGTCACACAGCCAGTAAGTGTCAAGTGTCTGAGGCTGAATTTGAACTCAGGTCCTCCTGACTCCAGGGCCAGTGCTCTATCCACTGCAACACCTAGCTGCCTCTCAAACACCAGTTTTTGTTTTGTTTTGTTTTTTCGCTAGGCAATGGGGTTAAGTGACTTGCCTAGGGTCACATAGCTAGTAAGTGTTATGTGTCTGAGGCTGGATTTGAACTCAGGCCCTCCTGAATCCAGGGCTGGTGCTCTATCCACTGTGCCACCCAGCTGCCCCCAAACACCAGTTTTTTAAAAGACCATTTGCCCACCTGTAGGAGATGAGTGAAAAAGAGGAATGATTCGCAGAATCCCAGGAATCTCCATCCTACAGGGTGCAATGCATCTGAGAAGAAAGACTAAGGAGCCTTTCAGCTCTTATAGTCTATGCCTTCTATTCCTCAGAGTTCTAATATTCTATGTCCTCAGTGTTCTAATATTACATGACTGCTCTCAGCTCAGATGTTCCAGGCTCTATATTCTAGGTCCCTTCCAGCTTTAATGGTATGCTATAAGGACTCCTGCAGTTCTGATATCCTGTAATTTTTTAGCTTTTTGAGGACTAAGAAACTTCCATCCTGAGGACTGCCCCTGAGTGACTAGGTGAAAGGATTTTGGGATCTCAAGGACATTTCTGATTTCTGAGTTGTCCACTATAATCTTGTAGATAAACTGCAGAAAGAGGCCACAGAAAGTAGACAAAACATAGGTTCATAGTTTTATTTTGAAGTTATCTGCAAAGCCTTCAGTATTCACTCTGTTCCTGACTTTCAGAATTCTAGCAGAAGAGCACCAAGACTCATCTAGAACTTGGGCATTTTTCAGTGTGCTCCTGGATGCCACCTCTCCCTAGCCAGCTGACCTCACTGACTGTTCCACACATTCTGGGGCTTAGACACTCTTATGGATTGCTCTCTAATTGCCTCTCTCTGTGTCACTCTTACCTTCCTGGATTTCCTTGAGATCAGGGAGAATGTTATAGAGAAGCAAAATGATGGAACATAAGGAACGTTAGACTTGGAATTAGAAGAGCTTGAATTTGTCTTTAATTGTCTAGTCTTGAGCCAGTCCTTTCACTTCTCTGATCCTCAATTTTTCCATCTATAAAGTGGGAATAAGAAACACAGCTAAGCCTCAGAAACCAGAGAACTGTTAAAAGGGTCAAATGAGAAAATGGATACAAAATGCTTCCTAACTATATAATGCTAGGTAAATAGGGATTATTAATACTGTCTTCCCTATAACATCTAGCATAGTGCTGGCTGCAGAGCACGTACTTCCTAAAAAACTGGTTGCCTTAAAGTAAATGGAGATTAATTCCTTTCTCTACTGTGTACCATCCACAGTGTCTCTTAAAACACCTGCCCTTGCATAATGCATAAGGAAAGAGCTACTTAAGTTCATTCAGGCAGATACCCATGATTGACTAATGCCAGGCCATCTGGTTTTCTGTGATTAGTTCCTCTGCCATGTTAATGCTCCATCTTCTAATGACAGTCGGTCCCTTGCTTTCTCTAGGTATAATCTTTGCCCAACAGTATACAGACTGTGAGGGGGGATAGAAAAAATAGGAGTCAGAAGACTTGGGTTCAAGTGATGACTTTGCCACGTACTATGTATGCGACCTTGGGTTAAGTCAATTCCCCACTCTAGGCCTCAATTCTCTCATTTGTAAAATGGAGATAGTAAGAGTTACAGTACTTATCTCAGAGTATTTATCATTGTGGAAACATCTTATAAACTACAAAGTGCTATGTCAGTATGAGATACTTTGTGATTGGCCCGGCTGATAAAAATGTCTGGTGGTTGTCCAAATGTAAACACCATTTAATTTCCTCCATGAGATACTTTGTGCCCATTAAAAAGTCTTGCTAAAGAAATTAGTGTCAGAGAAAGCTATTTGTTAGCTACTAATTTTCTGTTTCAATGGCCTAATTCTTGTGAGTCAGAGCTAAAACGGGAGCTATATGGTTATGTTTCTTTCAAGGCAAACACCACCCACTATTTCACCTCAAGAACACCATATGCAGGGTGGCAGAGGGGGTGGGGTGGGTGAAATGGCATTCTGTTAATGGACACTGACAATGTGTGACACACTCGGGTAGGGATAGTGGCACATGACAGCTATGAACAAAGCCAATGGATCCTTTTGGGATCCAGTCTCAAGCCCAGGACTGAAAATCTTGGTTCAGTTTTCTCATCACCATCTCCACGAGTTCAGCTTCTCAGTTTTTCCTTGACAAAGGGCCCCTTGGGCGGCCAGTGGTCACCAGAGATGGAGCTGTGAGGATAGAGTAAGTTACAGCCTCAGAAAGGATGGCAATCATCAGAAAATCCAAGCAACTTACCTCAGAGCTGACCCCTTGGGTGTCGCAATGCCATAGCCTTTAGAATCCAAGTTACCTCCCACCTTCATCGTGTCACAGGGCTTCCGCTGTTCAATGTATTCATTCATTGTAGACTCTAGGAGGTAGGCGTACTTGCCTTTAGATTTCCTCACCCGGATCATGCCCTCCTCTGTGGTTCTCACGAAAACTGAGGGCTCAGCTGACTTCATATATGTCCACATCTTCTCAAAGACAGCAATCTTTGACCTCTGGTATGAGACAGAAACACATCCACCTTTTACCACTTGCCAGTCTGGGCACTGGGGTGGGCACACATGCTAATGAATTACTGAGGAAGATACAGTCACCAATGTGATTAGCACAGAAAGAAATAGATTATGAGTGATTGCAAAATAAGAGGTCCTAATTGGTATCAGTGGGTTCCCGAGTACAGATATCTTAGAAATAAAGTAGAGACAAAATAGTGCAGAATCTTTCAATTACCACAGAGAACAATTACAATCTTTCTAGATGGTAGGGGAGGGCAGTTTAGAAACCAGGCCTTTGCTTATATTTTAGAAGAAATTAAAAAGCACATTTAATATACAACATAGTCCAATTGAAACAGTATAAAAATTATCAGAAGGCAAATTAGCTGCCCACGTTGCAGATTTACCACAACATTGAGAGGTGGGATAGAGTAGCACTATGAGTTCTGGTCTTAGGGTTAGAGGATCTGGGTTTGAGTTTTGGTTTTGACATTTGACATGTGTCCATAAGCAATAACTTCTCTAGCCTCAGTTTCTTCATTTCTAAAATGCTACTGTCGTGAAGAAAATTCTCTGCAAAATTTTTTGTGGAGGCAACTGGGGTTAAGTGACTTGCCCAGGTCATACAGCTAGTAAGTGTCTGAGACTGGATTTGAACTTAGCTGCTCCTGATTCCAGGGCTGGTCCTCTTATCTATTGTGCCCCCTAACTGCCCCAGTTCTCTGTAAATTTGAAGGCACTATAGAAATTTGAGGATTCTTGTTATTAATACTATTAATTATTATGATTATTAACACAATTAATATTATTATTATTCCATTATATTGTATAAGATCTTGTGGGAAGGGACTGTCTCATTTTGGCTTTAGTACTTGGCATACAGTAAACACCTACTAAATGCTTATTGATTTATTGATTCTACCTTCCAATACTCTTGGGATTAGATGATTAAAACAAATTAAAACATCACACCATTATTCAAAGGTGCCAACCCACTGAGTTTCACTAGGTTTAGGATTCCTTCTATTTACAAACACCCAGTTTTCTAGGATGGAGCAGAGTGAAAATCAGCACTTGGGAAAACTTTTTTAACCTTCTCTCTAAATACTCCGTTCCAGTCACATCAATCTACATACTACCCCTGGGACATGCCCATGAGTGGCTGTGGGATATAGTTGAAAGTTCATTTAATTCAGCTTCAAAAGACCTGGTTACCAGCCCTACCATTTACTCATTATTATGGCAAGTCAGCTCACCTCTCTCATTCCTCCTCAGTAAAATGGGGATTATAAGGAAGGAAACAAGCATTTATTAAGCGCCTGGCACTGTGCTAAGCACTTCACAAACATCATCTCATTTGATCCTCACCACAATCTTGGGAAGTAGGTGCTATTATTATCCCTCTTTTACAGTGAAGGAAACTGAGGCAGAGGTTAAGTGACTTGCCCAGGGTCACACAGGTAGTAAGTGCTAACAGCTGGATTTCAACTCAGGTCTTTCTCCTTTCAAGCCCAACTCTCTGTGTTATTTAGCTGCTTCTAATATTATTATAATATTTGAACCACCAACTTCTCAGGTTGTAGCATGATTCTAGATTTGCCTAGAATCTGTCCCAGGTGCTTGGGGAGGGGTGGAAGGCACAAGGATGAATAAGGCATAGCCCTTGCCTTCAAGAAACTTACATTCTAACAGGGGATATAAGATATGTGCACAAATTACTAACATAGGACAGAATGTGGCAGCCCTTACCATGTTACAAGACAAGTACAACAAAAAGGGAAGGGGGCCTATAGGGAGGAAGAGATTATTTCCAACTTTGTGGAGGATTCATTATTTAAGCTGAATCCCTTGAGGGACAGGTAAAGTGCAAATAGCTGGAAATAGGTAAAAAGGGTGGGTAAAAACAAGTAAACATTTCAGACACAGAAAACATTGTCATCAATGGTACAGAGGTTGGAAAAACCAGGGGAAGTTCAGGGAATAGACAGAGAGTAGAGGATTACTGGGGATGGAGTGGAAAGATAGGTTGGGCCTGATTATGGAGGGCCTTGAATATCAGGCCAAAGAATTTAGACATTATTCGGTTGGGATTCTATTTCCCATCTCTATGCCTTTGTACATGTTGTCTTCCTTGCCTGGAATGTACTCCCTCCTTACCTCCACCTTTTAGATTTTAGCTTCCTTCAAGGCTCGCTCAGGTGCCGTTATGTATGGAAGTGTTTCCTGATCCCACAGGTTGATAGTTTTTTCTCTTTTTTCCCCCCAGAACTGCTGAAAAAAGAGTGTTTCGCTCTGTCTGTCTGTCTGTCTGTCTGTCTGTCTCTCTCTCTTCTCTCTCTCTCTCTCTCTCTCTCTCTCTCTCTCTCTCTCTCTCTCTCTCTGTCCCTCTCTTTGTCTTTGTCTCTATCTCTTAGCTTGCAGTTACTTATCATTGAGGTCCATGGGCAGCTAGGTGGAGCCAGTGGATAGAGAGCCAGGTTTTGAGTCAGGAAGACTCCTCTTTCTGAGTTCAAATCTGGCCTCAGACATTTACTGTGTGACCTCAGGCAAGCCACTTTAATCTTGTTTGCCTCAGTTTGGTCATCTGTAAAATGAGCTGGAGAAGGTAATGGCAAGAAAATCCCGAATGTGGTCACCAAGAGTCAGACAAGATTGAAAAATGACTGAAAGACACTTATCTGCTTACATGTTATATCTCCTACTGGAGCAGGGAGTGTTTCATTTTTGTCTTTATGTACAACCAGTGTATAGCCCCAGTGCCTTGTATATAGGAAGTGTTTAATAAATGCTCTATGGACTGAATTAAATTGATAATGGGAAGCTCCTGGGGGTTTTGGGAGAGGGGATTAGCATGATCAGAGCTAAGTATTATGAAGCCTGTTCTGGAAAGTTTTGTATGATAGAAAAAGCCTTATCTGCTTTAAGGGGGGCATAATACCTTTTAGGAATGAGGAAGCAATAGTTCTTCTGTGTTCTGCTCTAGTCAGACCACAAGGAAATATTGAAGTGAAGCTCTAGGTACCATAGTTTAAAAGGACATTGATAACGTGAAAAAGAATCAGTAGGAAAACAATATAGGTAGGGAAGAGTTTTAAATCCATATCTTATGAGGAATAGTTGAAGGAACTGGGGATGTCAAGCTGGGAGAAGAAAAACCTCAATGGGGATGATAGCTCCCCTTATGTGTGTGAAGGGCTGTCACAGGGAAGAAGAATTAGGTTCATCCTTCTTGGTACCAGAGAGCAGAACTGGGAATGATGGGTGGAAGTAGTCAAAAAAAGGAAATTTGGGCTTGACATTCACAAAAACCTTCTGACAAGGAAAGCTATCCAAAAGTAGAATAGGTGGCCATGGGAATTGGTAGGATTGCCCTCCTTGGAGTTTTTCAAGTGGAGGCTGAAAGACTACTTGTTGGCTGTGTTAAGAATATGGAATCTTTTTTTTTCTTTTTTTCTTTTCTTTTCCTTTTTTTTTTTTTTGCTAGGCAATGGGGTTAAGTGACTTGCCCAGTGGAGTATGGATTCTTTTCAAGGATAGGTTAGACTACATGACCAGGACTAGTTTCCTTCCAGCTCTATAATTATGCTTTTTTTTTTTGTGGTTTGGAAGAGAAGATAGTGGAGACAGGGAGACAAGTTGGGAGGCTACCATGATGTGATTTCCCAGGCAGAGGTCACAAAGGCTTATGTTAGGATATACATAGACAGCATGCTTAACAAATGTTAGGATGACATTGAACTGGAAAGGGGATGCAGTTAATATCTTGGAGACTGAATTGAGATAATTTCTTTGACAGGCTATAATGATGGGCCACGGATAACAAGATGAATTTTAATAGAGATGGATGTAAGGTCTTGTACTTCGGTTAAAAAAATAATCAGTTGCCTAGGTGTTGAATAGGGGAGATAGGTTTAGAAAGCAGCTCATGTAAAAAAAAAATTGGTGGTTTTATGAACTATAAGCTTAAGTGGAGGTGGCAAGAATGTCCAATACCACCATTTATATTTTAAAAATGATATTTTCATAAATAAAGAAAAGGAATATGCAAATCAAGCCACGGGTCAAATCTTTAGATGACACCAGTAACATCGGGGAAGAGAGAACATAGAAGGTAAAGTGGGCGATGCAATTTGACTTGGCATGATGAGATCAACAGCAAAGATAGTTTTTTTTTGGTAGAGCTTAAAAGACCTATAGGCAAAAATATATAGGAAATAAATATGGCTTTCTTATTTTATACCAATTCCCCAAGAACCAAAGCTCCCATCATTATGGCCACTGAATGCTAAAGGATGATGTGTGGCAGGTGATACTGATGAATGCTTAGAGTATATTTGTTCCTGGATAACTCCTTTGATTTTGGCTCCCAAAGTACTTCACATAGCCTAATTAATCTACCAATTACATGTCTGCGGTTTATCATAACCACAGGGAGCAGAATTCAGAATGCCATATTGGTTTGAAAGCAGGCTGCCCTTTCTTCCCTCTGCTCAGAATTCAATGTGTCTTGTACAAGACCAAAATATGGCCTATAATTGTGGTTCCATTTATACAGTAATTTATAGTTTGCAAACACTTTTTCTTCCATTTTCTCATTTCATCCTAACAACCACCTGGGAAGTAGACAGGGAAGGATGATTATCCCCATTTTACAGACAATGAAAATGAGTTTCACAAAGGTAAAGCAGCCTTCTTAAGGACATATGATTTTGAGGATCATAACCGACATTTGAAACCAATATTTCTGATTCAATTGAACAAATATATACTAAGTGCCTGCTATGTTCAGAGACCCACTGCTTTTCCCATTTTCAAACAAGTGGTACATATTGTGAAGTCTTCCCTTCATCTACCTAATAAGAGTCAGAGACCTCAACATCCAAGTCCTGGTGTAGTCATACAGCTGCAGTATTTTAGAGCAGAGGAAGGTCCTTTAGTCATACTCTAATCCAACCCCTTCTTTTTACAGATGATATAATTGAGGATCAGAGAGGGAAAGTGACTTGCTTGCCATAGAATGAATAATTTGATAATGGCAGAGCCAGGGTTAAAACCCAGTTTTCTTGACTCTGGGCTCAGGGCTCTTTTTACTATACTTCTTCCACAATTCAGTGTTTCTTCTCTCACTCATTACATAGAAGTCTCTTGATAACAGCTTTGCTATGGTGTAGAATTTGGTGGAACATTAGTCCCTTTGGGTCCCTTTCCTCGGCCCTGATACTTGCCCCTGAGGACTGATTTAAACTAAGACTCGATTGTATTCTTTTCACGGTTTTCATTATGGAAACTGTAATGGCTGTGGAATCCACCCCCCAGGAATCAGTCCATGATTTTGTTCTCTGTGGTTTAGAAAGGTTAACTAAAATGACATAGAGATTAGAGAATGAAACATGTAGAGAGGGATTAGGGGAGATCAATTTGCATGAAACCACAAAAACAGAAAGAAAAAGAGTGCCATTATGGACTATGAATAACCAGAAGGTAACTCTAAAAATGAACAGAGGGGTAATAATATATACTGTGTTTCAGGAGGGTCAAGAATGGAGGAAATCTGGAAACTTTAAGGGTGCTCATGCGAACAAACAAAAAACTTCACTGGTAGTAAGTGGACCATGGAACACAGATGGTAAAAGGCAGGGAGCAGGAACAGGTCAGATAAGAGGAGGGAAATCAGGTTGAATCACAAAATCTTAGCAAAGGTAGAGACCTTAGCTAGAGTATGTCAAAAGTGGATGGGACTTTAGAAGAATGAATGTTAGAGCTGGAAAGGACTTAGAAGCTAGAATGTCAGGCTGACAGTAAACTTGGATATGCTTTACTCCTTCTCTTCATCTTGCAAATGAGGAAACTGAGGTGCAGAGATGGAAAGTGACTTGTCCATGGTCACAACAAATTAGCAATACAGTAGGCTTCCAAAAGGTGCATAGTATTACATCCATAGGATTTTGTAGGGTACAGCAATTCTAATTAGGACACAGAGGGGATGTGCATATAGTTACAATCTCTATGTCCCAGGTCATTCCCAACTCACCAATCAGAATTTGTTTCCCTTTCAAGATAAGAAAGAAGAGAGTCACTTTTGATTGTTGTTCAATTCCTAATTGACTCTGGGATGAGTATTTCCATCCCTAAGTTCTAAAGAGGTCAGTTGTATGATGAACTTTGATTCTGCAAAATGCCTCATAGGTCCTTCAGTAACCTGAAGGAAGAGGATGATGCTCTGTGTTTTATGGGCACAGACTTACTCAAGTGGTCCACTGTCCTGGTAGCATGAAGTACATAGCACCTATGGTGCCTAGCCCCCTCATATTTGTTGATAATGATGATATTCATGGTGATCATGCTGATGGTGAGGATGATATTATTTCTATTGTACATTTCTTTTTTCCCCTTTAGTGAAAAATGATTTCCTTTTTTCTCCTACCCTAAAGAATTCTTTAGTTGATCCTGCCTCCAGGGTCCCATAAGCAATCTCAGTTTGTTTAGCCAGGTCTTCAGCACTTTCAATAGGAGATACCATCCTCTCTACGGTCAGGAAAGCTGCCAGGTTAGCCGTGTAGGAGGAGATGATGATCAAGGTGAAGAACCACCAGACGCCACCAACAATTCGGCCAGAGAGAGACCTAGACACCAAAAGGAAAAGGAATAAGAAACAAAGGCAGGAGATCAACTGAAGCCCTATCATGATAGTCAGGTGACATTGTGTGCTTCATTCACAGTCAGGAAGGATGGGATGGTCCAAAGGTCAGAGTGAATTTCTTCTTCTTCTTATAACAGATGAGAACATCTGTGGCACTGGTTGTCACCTCAGGTGAGAAAGCACGCACATATTTGCATAATATATTGACTTATACCCACAATTGTGCTCCTACCTACATGCATGCAGAGATATACATGTCCAAACAAACTTATAGAAATCTACACAAATTCCTATGCAGCACAAACATACAGAGGCAGTTTGCTACAATGAAAAGAGTGATAGACTTGGAATCAGGGATTCTGGGTTTAAATCTGGGCTCCAGTGCTTCCTATCTATGTAACCTTGAGTGAGTCACAACTTCTAGGAATCCCTCTTCATTTATAAAATGGGGAGAGTCAGATTTATGGAAAACAGAAGAATTCATGACCAAACAGGAGACAGAGAACATTACGAAAAGCAAAATGGATAACTTTGATTCATTAAATGGAAATGTTTTTGCACAAACAAAGCCAATGCAACTAAGATTAGAAGGAAGGTAGAAAATTGGGAGAGAATTTTTACAACCAGTCTCTCTGATAAGGGCCTCATTTCTAAAATATACAGAGAATTAAGTCAAATTTATAAAAATACAAGTCATTCCCCAATTGATAAATGGTCAAAGGATATGAACAGGCAGTTCTCAGATGAAGAAATTAAAGCCATCTATAGTCATATGAAAAAATGCTCTAAGTCACTATTGATTAGAGAAATGCAAATCAAAACAACTCTGAGGTACACACACACCTATCAGATTGGCCAACATGAAAAACAGGAAAATGATAAATGTTGGAGAAGATGTGGGAAAATTGGAACACTAATGCATTGTTGGTGGAGTTGTGAAATGATCCAACCATTTTGGAGAGCAATTTGGAACTATGCCCAAAGGGCTATAAAAATGTGCATACCCTTTGACCCAGCAATAGCACTTCTAGGGCTATATCCCAAAGAGATCAAACAAATGGGAAAAAGACCCACATGTACAAAAATATACATAGCAGCTCTTTTTGTGGTGGCAAAGAATTGGAAATTGAGAGGATGCCCATCCATTGGGGAATGGCTGAGCAAGTTGTGGTATATGAATGTAATGGAATACTATTGTGCTATAAGAAATGATGAACAGGCTGACTTCAGAAAAACCTGGAAAGACTTGTATGGTCTGATGCTGAGTGAGGTGAGCAGAACCAAGAGAACTTTGTACACAATAACAGCCACATTGTGCGATGACTAGTATTGATAAACTTAACCCTTCCCAGCAATACGAGGATCTAAGACATCTCCAAAGGCCTCATGATGGAAAATGCTGTCCACGTCCAAAGAAAGGACTATGGAGTTTGAATACAGATCAAAGCATACTAGTTGCTATTTTTTTTCTTCTGTTGAGTTTGTTTCCTCTTTCTGGTGGTTCCTTCTATTAGTTCTAATTCTTACTTACAATATCACTAATGTGAAAATATGTTTAATGGGTATTTAAATGTAAAACCTATATCAGATTGTGCGCCTTCTCGGGGAGGGTGGTGGGGAGGAAGGGGGAGAAAATTTTAAACTCAAAAGCATATGGAAGTGATTGTTGATAAATCAAAATAAATTAATTTTAAAAAATAAAGATGCTTAGAGAGGAAAAAAAATAAAACAGGGATAGTAATATTACTTTTACTTGCACCAGAATGTTGTTATAGAAAGAGTGCCTTGCAAAATTAAAGTGAGAAATGATTGTGAGTTCCTATTAGGCAAGTATATACATACACAAGGAGAATCATATCACTTTATATCTGGTAAGGAACCTTATGATTCAGCTTGTCCTGCCCTTTCTTTACATAAGAGAACAAAGAGAGAGTAAATGTTCTGAAAACCCAGGGATGAGAGTGTGTTTCTGAGAGGAAGAGGTGTTCAGTAGTGTCAAATGCTGCAAAGAGTTCAAGAATGAGGACTGAGAAAAAAACATCAGATTTTGCATTTAAGAGATTATTGGTAACCTTGGAGAGAGCAGTTTCAGTTGAGAGATAAAGTTGGAAGTCAGTTTGTAAAGAATTATGGGAGGTGACAAAGAGGAAGAAGTGAGTGAACACACACACACACACACACACACACACACACACACTTCCTCCTCTTTAAATTAAGGCTAGAGGAAGATCTAGGCATGGTTGTGAGTAACAGAGAAGGAGCCAATGATTGATACACACAAATACATACAGTTGCAACATAGGCGTATATAATATGTATGAATACATACATAGCCAACACATGACATACAGACCTCACACAGAAAGACATGCGTACCTGTACAACATACCTGTATATCTACATACACAGTTGTACACATATAAACACATATACACACTCTTACGTTTTATGATACCCAGAAATACTCTAAGTCTGCCTTCTGGCTGCCCTGCTGCTGTTGACAGCCGTCTGCTAGTTCTGCCCTTTCTTGAAAAGGCCACCCAGATGGGTGAGGGAGGGAGCACATTGGAAGGAAATTCCAAATCAGGGCCCATCTTGGCAATGCTACTGCTCTTTTGGGGGAAGAGCTCTCTTTTACCAAGCACAGAAGCTCCCACAAACTGCACAAGGGTACACTCTTATAACCACGGCAGGGTACATTGTATTCCATATCTCTTTGGCAAATGTGATAACCATACGCTGGGTATGTGCTATGCTAGGAAAAGAAAAATGTCTCCTTTAGCAGAGCTTCTATAATAGATTTATCCTTCATTTTTAAATGCTTCACACATAGATTAATTCTTCCTTTGCAAGGCTGCCTAGGCAAGGTGATGTATTTTAAGCCTACACCAATGCAGATATGCAGGGTTAGCCCTCAGCAATACTCATAGCTGTGGAAAAGAAGATTGGAGCTGTAAGTGTTTTTAAAACATAAGGCATAGTTATGTTTATGCTAAAAGGGCTTAGAGAACTTAGGATACCAGGGCTGGAAGGGATGTTATAACACATAACATCAGAGCTGGATGAGATCTTAGAACATTGAATGTCAGAGTTGGGGAGGACCTTACACACAGAATGTCAGGACCTTACACACAGAATGTCAGAACCTAAAGCCCAGAAAGGAAAAGTGGTCAGACTCACAGAATTTATCTTAGCACTAGAAGGAAGTGCTGTCTTCTATCTTGTCCAACTTCTACCTGAAAAAACAGGAATCCTTTCTGGGAAATCCCTGGTAGGTAGGCGATCATGCAGCTTCTACTTGAAAACCTTCAGTAACAGGGAGCTCACTCTCTCTCAAGGTATAGCCTGTTCTACAGTGAAGTGAAACACTTGGGATTATTAGGAAGTTCTTTTTGCTTCAGTGAAATATCTTCCTGGAATGTCCCTTCATTGGCCTTAGTTCTGCCTTCTGAGACCATAAAGAATCAGTTTAATCTTTTAGTCCTTCTGATATCTGAAGGGAGGCACCATCACCTCCACCCTAAATCTCAGCTACGGCAACTGACTTTGCTGGAGTCCCATGACTGAAAAACAGAGGAGTCAGTGCTTAAACCCAAGTCTTCTGATTCTCCACGCAGTGCTCTTTCCACTGTATCTCCCTTCCCCTCAGTTCAGGAAGATCAATTCCTTTGTCTATCCCTAAGCAAAGAGAATATGGAGAATTCACAATTCTACAGCATTTTTTTTTGTTCATAAATAATAACTCTGGAAGGTAGGTCCAGATACTGTTATTGCTATTTTATAGATGAGAACAGAGTCACTAAGATTTAAGGAAGTTAACTAATCATCTCGCTAGTGTCTTTAAAGTGGGGATAGGGTAGGAGTTGACACTCGAACTCAGGTCTCTAGTTCTACATCCAGCATTCTTTCTACTCTTTCATGCTTACTTTTCCCCAATCAAGATCTTAAAATGAAATACAATGCTTTTCCTGAAAGCTCAGTGCAGAGAGATCCTGAGACTGACTTTCTGCTCTGCTTGTTTTTTATGAATACTTATCTGTGGGGTTTCTAATACCATTTGTCTAGGGTGCTGTATTCCCTGTACCCCCCTATACATAATGGAGACCTTTCAGAGAAATTCTACAGCAAAACATCCTGCAAGTGTTATCTGTGACTTTATCCAAGAGCCATGGGGAGGTACTTTTCTAACCCTGACACAGATTTGGAGCTTCATTTGCATCTCATCTACCACCTGTCACCTTAGAGCCTTCAAGCCCTTAACTCAGTGCTGGCTCAGGTGAGATAACACCCCCTCTGTTATTTTTCAAGGCTGTGTGGTGACGGGAAGATCCTGGGGGTGGGAGTTAGGAGACTTGATTCAGTCTTGGCTCTATCACTGACTAGTTGAGTGATTTTCAATCCTTCTGGAATATCTATAAAGTGGGGATTCAATTTAATTCAAATCAATAAACACTGAGCCAGCTGTGTTAGGTACTGTGTGTGTATATGTGTGTATGTGATATGAAGTTTAGATAATTCATGTGATATGAAGTTTAGATAATTCTGCCTTCATGACCCTTAATAATAGCTGCCATTTACATAGAGTTGAAGGTTTGCAGAGCATTTTATAGACATTATCTCATGTGATCCTCACGACAATCCTGTGAGACAGTGCTATTTTAAGCCCCATTTCATAGGTGGGGAAACTGATGCTCAGAGAAATCGATTGATTTGTCCTTGCTCACATGACTGTAAGTGTCCGAACCAGGAAACGAACCAAATCTTCCTGATACCAAGTCCACTATTCTATCCACTCTACAGAGAAGCAGAGGGATAGGACAAAAACCCAGATAAAAATAATGTAAAATAAAGCATAACTCCATTAGTAAATTTCTAAACTATGGAACAAAACACTCCGTTTGCCAACTCTGGGCATGTTCACTGGCTACTCCCATGCCTGCCATTTTCTCTCTCGTCATTGCTACCTCTTGGCTTTCTTGGCTC